AACACATCATCATCATCATCACCACCCACCTGGGAACCTTCTCTCCATCCTTCACAAGCAGAGGGTAGGGAATATAAGGCCATGTAATTTCTGCTGTCTCTGAGGCCTCACTGAGAATTTGAGTCTCTTCTTCAGATTTTCATGTATGACCTCTAATAACGCATGTGGATCATTCTCTAATGAAAACTATCTGGGCAATAGGATAAAGAGGAACCAGTAGGTGGAGCGAAAACCTCATAACTGTGTGACAGTGTGCCTTTTACTGAATGTGTTTTTGTTCTGATTCCCTCATCTGTGACTAGGGAAGGCATAGCTTTCTCATCACTGGCACAAAATACCTGGCACCCACAACTTAAAGGAGAGATTTACTTTTGCTTGTGGTTTTCAGGAAATTTAGTCCATGGTCAGTTGACTCCAGGACAGAAAGTGCAATGAAAGGACATGATGGAGGAAAAGTTGTTCAACACATTACACCCAGGAACTAGAGAGAGAAGAGGAGCACGGGACAAGGATACACGCTTCCAAGGCACACCTGAGGCCACCACCTCCATCCAGGAGCCACCTTGCAAAAGCACAATCAGCTACAAACACATTGATGGATGAATCCACTAATGGGTATGGTACCACCATGATTCAACCATCAGACACATGAGGGTTTTAGACCTAAAACCTTTAGATCTAAACCATATTAGATGGTAACAGTGTTTGTCTCACAGCACTAAGGGAGACTGAAGAGAAAACACATGTCTGACCCATTTATAAAGATGGTAATGATGATGGTGAAGAAGGGATTGATGATGATGATGATGATAATGAAATAATGATCATACTTTAGTCAAGAAGGGGGAAATGACATATGAGCTGAAATATATATGTAAAATCTTCACTGAATGTTACTTCTCTACAAGTACCCTTCCAAGTATTTTAACTAAGTAATTTCTCACAATGGCTTTAGGAGACAGGCTTCACTGTACTCATTTTACAGAGAAAGTACAAGCATATTGAACACAAGAGGAATCTACTCATCTACTTCGTTGTTCCCTACTTGGGGTAGGGAACATGGGGTAACTAAATTTGTTTCCAGTTTGGTATTTACCTGATTCTTCTCGGTGTCACAATCACAAGCAGAAGGGGTCCTTTTAACCTATTTGATCTTTGCTTTTTTAAAAGAAAATACAATAAAAATAATGATACAGAGTTTCAAAACAAGATAATAGGAAATTAACAATGGTTAATATATTGCCCAGTGTTATCTGCAAAGTAGTTGCTCAGATTATGAGACACAGACATAAAAATTGATCAAACAATGAAAGCACAAACTGTTTTTGATGAATTTAGATTAGCGATATAATTGTCTTAACATTTTTCTTTTTACTTTTTTTCTTTCCCTTTTTCTTTCTTACTTTTCTCCTTTCCCCATCCCATTGCTCTTTCCTTTTGAGCAGTTTCTTCCCCTTTCGCTTTCACAATATCTATTTTACATTTTGGATCTTATTTACTCTTTCAGGTTCTTACACCAAGGAACAATACATTATTTACACATCTGAGTCTGATTTATTTCACTCAGCAGTATGGCCTCTATTGCCTCTATTTGCCTATAAAGGCCTCGAGTTTATTCCTTTTTATAGCTGAATATTACTGTATTGTACAAAAACACTACATCTTTTTTATATATTTCATAGTTGATGGGCATTTGGGTTGTTTCCAAGATTTGGTGATTACAAACTGTGCTACTAAAAACATGGGTGCACATATGTCACTGTGGTATGAAGCTTTTAATTCTTCTGGGGAAATACCCAAAAGGGAACAACTGAGTCGAATGGGACCTCTAATTATAGTTTTTTAAGAAACCTCCACACTGATTTCCACAGTGGTTGCACCAGCACATGCTGCCATCAACAGCAAAGAAGGGTTCCTTTTCCCGCATAGCCTTGTCAGCATTTGTTACTGGCTGATTTCTTGAGGATAGCTATTCTTTCTGGAGTGAGATGCCAGAAATTTAGTTAATATTTTTCTTGTGTTTTAAGTGCTTCTTCAAATGTCACAAATGACTAACTTATTCTAGGAGCCTATCATCCTTCGTTTGAGTTTAATAAATCTCCCAAATAATAGGCATGTACATTGAGCTCCAAAATTCAATTTAAAAATGCTTTTAACCAATGGCTTGAATGACTACTTTCTCATTATCTAAAGCATGCCTGGGAGATGTCAGGAAGTAAATCCTTCAGGACAGTCAGGGGAAATCCTTGGGCATCCCTTGTTTCTATGCTCCATGCACAGCAACCTGCATTTCTTATACCTTAGGTGGTTTGCTGATGTGGTAGAAGGACTCAGTTTCAGGATTTTATGAGAGACATTCCAGCAAGGCAGAGATGCAATGGCTCTATTCCTCATTTTCATTTTCCTATTAATGTTCTCTCACATGCAGTAATAGCAAGAGAGCAACTGAGAACTTTAAAAAGCTCTTCACTGTAGTGGTCATCCACTGAAAAAGTGAAAAAGTATGCCAAATTTCCAAAGGAAAATGTTATAAGAATCTACTCCTCTCTCAAATTTAGAATTCAAAACTGGATTCAAGATCAGTGCCAATATTTTGAAAACTGAAAAAGCAGGCAAGATTAACAAACCGAAAGTAAAGACTCCACTTCCCCAGGGGCCACGTCTTTCCTCTATGCCTTGGTCCATGGATGTCCTCTCCCCTTGTCCATCTTTGTCTCAGCAGAAAGCTTCAGTGAGTGCTTCCCAGGTCCCCCTGCCAGAAGGACTTGCTGCCCAGTGGGAGGTGCAAAGAGAGGCTTCAATGCATCAAAACTCCAAAGCAGCCATATCCATGGACTGAGGAAGACGGGAGTGCTCTGCCTTGGCCATTTCTGCCCAGTAAATGTCACCCTTGATTCCTCTTCATATTGGTCAAGGCTTCTTGTGTCTCTCATTCCACGTATCCATGGTCTACTTCTTCCATGAGGGCAGCTCACAGGGTTATAACACTCAAGATTTTCCAAGGAAACTTTTTCTGAACACTGAAACCTGCCCTGTGTTTACTCAGTTTTATGCCTTTGAGACTCTTTTGTACTGGAAGTTTCTTGTGTGTGACTCTTAGGCTGGCACCTATGAACATGCAATGATTGCCTATTGAGACAGTCATTTAATTTTAGAGGTAAATGAGAATGGTATACTAACAGACATGCCTGTGGGATTGAAGAGTCTATGAGGCAGCAAAAGGAAGTAATGGTGTTCTCTTTATTAAAGAAAGTTAAATACTCCCTTCACCATAAAAAGAAGCATTTAATATCATCACAGCCTATTTTTACCTACAGAAAAGAAAGTAACTGAGTTTGCTAACCTGTAAATCATACAAGCAGAAATCTGGGGAACATGTGGAAATTTAGGTTATGGGTGTAGGATAACAGTGAGGGGAATATAAAGTTGAATCAGGCTGAATGCATTGATGTGGATTCCTCCCCACTTCCCCAGCAGCAATTCTGCACTTAACCATGCCATCAGGGAGTCAGGAAAAGTGCTAAGGGTTTAGATCACTGGATGAAACAAAGGTCTCAGCATCTGGAGATGCCTAATTTCTCTTGGGTTAACACAAAGGAAGTGATTCAAGGGCTGAGGGGCTCCCAGACTCATACCAGTGACCCACAGGCCCTTAGGCCTTTGGCTTAGAGAGAACCATACCATTGGCTTCCGTGGATCTAAGGCTTTGGGGCTCAAATATGATTGGCACCCCAAAATCTCCAACTTGCATTCTTTGCTAATTTAACCAAGTTAAGATGAGCAGCCCCTAACCCAGTATTACTGGTACTGTTCTAAAAGAAGAAATTTGGGTAGACGTGAACAGAGATGAAGGGGTCATGCAAACACTGAGACACACTACTACAAAGAACCACAATCCACCTTGTGCTATGGGAAGCCATAGAAGATATGAAGACACTGCCTCTCAGGAAGACTGACCTCCCTAACACACTGGTTTCATACTTCCAGCTCTTTGAAATGTGAAACCATACATTCTGTGCCTTACAACACCTATTTTTGGGTAGTTCCTTACTGCTGCCCTAGGAAACTAATGCATTCAGCAGGACTTTCTGAATACTCTTCCCAGTGACCTGTGGGCTTTTCCAGTCTCCCTGTGATGATAGCCTGTATCTTTAGCTCTCTCTGAAGCTGAGCACTGTTATGTCGAAGACTTTGAGGGGTTTTCTCTTTTCTTCTCACCCAATAGTGTTCTTCCAAATACTTGGGACTACCAGGTGGAAATCTCCAGAGATTTCACTCTGTACACACTGCTACTCTCATGTACCTTGTTCTGTGAACTGTCGTGGGACTACTCAGCATCCATAAGCATTTAAAACATACTTTTAATTAGATGGTTTTGCCTCTTTTTTTGGAAGATACCTAGAAAGGAAATACCTGGGTCAAATGGAAGTTCTACCTTTAGTTTACTGAGGAATCTTCACACTGATTTCAGAGTGATTGTACCAGTTTACATCCTCATCAGTAGTGTTGTATTCCTTCATTCTCTTATTATTTTGTTATGAATTCCCTTAATTGACATCTTTTAATATACCTTTATCACCTGCCTATCCATCTATCTATCTATTTATCTACCTATCTATCTAACTACCTATCATCCCTTATTCATTCCGTATCTCTGGAAAGCCCTTACCAAAGTAGGTCTACAAAGAGAGACCTCTTTCTCAACTTCAAATAGCAGAGCTAAAAATTAGGGTTAGGACTAAATATTAAAGCATACTTTATAGTCAAGTTTCCTTTCAACTTTAACACCATTTATTTATTAGAAAGGGGTGACTTGTGATTGTTCCAATTTGTTTTTGATTTCCAGTCAGTTATAGATTGTGCTGTTGATAAGTGTTCATAAAGAGAAATTCAGAAAGTTCTTAATCCTTGGTATCACTTAATTGATGCTTGATTCCCTGTTATCCTTAATCAGTCTCTCAACTTCATATACAAACACAACCACAAACAGAAACAAGAAATCAAGTTTCATACATTCAGTTTATTGTCCAAATACTAGCAATTGAGGGTACACAAGGAGATTGCAAGTACCGTGATAATTAACCATATTTCATTATGGGCTAGAGAGGCTATACAGTAAGAAAATAAGGTTAATATATAGATGGCCTAATGGGGCCATAAAAGTCTGAGAAGCTTTCAGCATTTCAAGAGGCTGAGGCAAGAGAATTTCAAGTTCAAGCCAAGCCTGGGCAAGTTAGTGGGACCCCCTCCTTGAAATGAAAAATACAAAGGGCTGAGGATGTAGCTTAACATCAAGGCCCTAGCTTCAATTTCCAGTAACAAAAAAAAAAAGAAAAACATGTGAAAAGCATGCCAGCGGGGTTGTGTGAATCCGAGAGATGGGTGTGTGATAAATGACAGTGAGGTAACTGAGGTCCCCAAACTTTTCAGCTTCCATGGTACTTTTCTATTTTAGCTAAAGGCAAACTACTTTCTTCTTATTTCAATTAGGAAAGCAACAGCCACAAAATCAATTCATGTATGACTTTCTAGGTAAAATCCTCTATCTTACAGCACACAATCACCCTGTGAATTCCCCTCAAATGCTCTTTGCAAATGTTTTGTTCATCAGTCTGTGACAAGAGCCCATGGAGACCTTGGCATCCTCTGCATTCATCCTTCTTGCTGTTTCTCTTGTGTCCCCAGAGTGGATTTACCGCTGTGGACCTCCATCCCGCTCATACCCACTTTCACCTCCTCCGAGCACTGTTTTCTTTTTAACTTTTTTTCCACATTGGGCTTCCTACTTTCCATTGTTTTACAATGTGCTTTTCTGACTAATTCTTGTATCTTCTGGATATTATCCTTGTTTTTCCCCTCTGGGTCGAGGCATGTGAAGTTTAACCTGGCTTTACTTTATCTCAAAAGAATGGCTTAGAGTGTTAGCTTGTTTCCCTAATTTTTAAAATTTTTACCAGTACATGTTTATTAGATATATTAAAGATAGTCATCATGGGGAGCTGGTCCAGAGATACATCATATTTTGGTCTTTTTTACTTTATCTTACACTATCCTTCTTTCCGCTTCCTCCCATTGCCAGATCCCATTTAATAACGATGTCCCTTATCACAACTCAGCCTCCGTCATCAAACGGAATCATTAACAGAAATCTGTGCAGGGTGCCATCATGTCCTCTTCAATTTCATTTCCCCTTTCTCCTCAAAATGAAAATCTAAAGCTGAGCTTAGGTCTAGCTGTACTCTTTCTCCATCACTCATGTTTCTGAATGCCTACCATTTTTTCAACACTAAGGGTTCTCCTTTGACCTTAGACTCAAACACCTTGTATTTGCAAAAAAATTAGTTGTCTATCTTGTAATTTTAACCGGTTAATAAGACCTACCACTCTTTCTATGCACATTTTAGATATGATCGTTTCTGTCCACTCCCACTTTATTTACTACCTCCAGGGTGTCATTAATTTATCTTTTATATCTAAATAATGTCTCATTAAATTAATTCTGCATTTAAAGCTTCTCTGTTTTCATCTTTCCATTTCATCAGACACAGAGTAACTTAATAAAACTCCCATCACCTATTCACCAATCTGTAAATACTATTGAACAATACTGCACCAATGAAAATCCTTTAGCTTGAGTAATCTAAAGATTTTTATTAAACTCTGTGCCTCACAAAAACATACTGTGATTGGGAGAGATAAGTTCTTGCATATAGAACATCATGCATCCTGTAAGTTATGTATGTGTGGAGGATCTGGGCATGCACAGGGTGTGGGTATCAAAACTCCTATAGCCATGGGAACTCTGAAAAGAACTAAGAAGCAGGAATTATCGCATGGTCAGACTTTAGCTCAGCCCTTACCTCCTTGTTTTCCCTGTCATGCAGGAATGCAATCATTGCATACTAAAAACATGACTAGTGAAAATAATTTTTTTAAAAAAGAAGCAAATAGCATATTGACATCCAGAGGAGAAATCTAATGCAAAATTGATAGATTTGATAGAGAACAGAAATTTCCCCAGTAGCCACATGAGCAGATTTTGACTTTTGGACACTTTACGGTGATTCAGAATGTCCTGGGCACATGATTCTTATGAATCCACGGGAGACGTTTCGTCTTTGTGTACCAACTCACTGTAAATTGGTGAATAAATGTTTAATTCTTCATAAAGACGGTCATCTGGAAGCTGGAAAGAAAAGGTCATCCTACATCAATCACCAAGCACTCGCTCTGGAGCCGTGTCTCTTTTCCTTTCCATTCTGACACACTTACTCTTAAGATGTTCTGCCCATCTCCAGCAAACCAAGCCAGATTGGCTAGTCAACTGGGCCTCCAAAACATCATGCCAGATGATGATAGGCTGGTGAGATTACTGTGCCTCAGCTTCAATGCATATGCTTTCTTACCCATCTTTGGAGGAAAGTGGTCAACAAGGGTAGACCTGGAAAGTGTTGGGAAAGTTTACAGAAACCACTTTCATGCTTCATATGTTGGGTTGGAGTGTGTGTATATGTGGCACGCCCTGATGATTCTCAACAAAGATACGATGGGAGGATGAGGTGAGTGGAAACACAGCTTTCCTCATGAATTACAGAGTAAGGAAAACTTGAGGGTTGGGAGCAATAGAAAGGAAAGATGAAAAAAGCAAAGATATAAGAACAAGTATAAGAAGCTTCTCTGAGGCAAAAACTAAGGCCAGAAGTCTCAAGGACCTGCTGCACGTGCACCTCTCATGCTTAGCACTCTTTAAGGCATCCACATGTTCTAAAACTATAAAGATCCTGTCTCCTAAGCTTCAAGAGAGTGTACTGCAAGAGTTTTGCTACTTTTGAGCATAAAGCATGGAAGCTAAGGTCAGCGAACCAAGAAACAATTTTCTAGAAAAAATAAGTTCCAGAACATCCAGACTACACTGATAAAGGATGGAGCTCAAATTATATGGCCTGTTGTCTAGCACCCATACCCAGCTTACCTTCTTCCCTTTGCATTCTTCTCTGATCCCATAGACGGTGAGCGACACAGCCGTGCAAAACCCCAGGATGGTGAGAAACAGTATCATGGCCACGATTTCCTGCAAATCAACAACCAGCAAATCAAGAAGACACTCATGTGACAGATGTCCCAGAAGCACCAGCCTTCACCGCAGTCCCTACTGTCATCACCAAACCTCACATAATCATTGGTCAAGAAGTGGCACAAGTATAGGGAACCAGGCCATGGTTTCAGAGGCCATCTGATGGAGGAACCTGTCCAGTAACAGGCAGTGGGGGTAGTCAGTGTCCCCCATATCAGCAGAACATTGTACTGTGAGATGAAGGTCCCAAAAAATAGGGTTGAGTACAGGGAGAAGAAAAAGAAGTACCTAATATTTTAGCCTTTTCACAAGAAATACGTACAATAGTGAATGAAGCCACAAGGCAGTCGTCATTCTCATCAAGTCTCTCACATTGGTAGATGTAAGCTGAGCTGTTGTAGAGGTTGAAGACCAGGATGACCATCCCGGAGGCCCCAACTATGCTGCTGAGGACGTTCGCCCCTAGCCTTCCCCTCACCTGAGAGAATAAAGCACAGCCTGGGTTAGGGTTAGGGATAGCCCCGTCTGCCTCCCGGCAAGGCCAAGAGCCTGCTCTGCGTTTTAGGGTAGGCTGCAACCAGCAAACTCTGAACCAGCTCCTACTATTGGTTCAAAAGGGAAATCCTGAAAATCTTCTCCTTGTGAGGAAGCATCTGCTACTTTCTTATTAGGCTGTGTGAGGTGAGGATGACACAGGTGTGGGGAGGTAACTTGGGGGTAAAACAAGTGCTCAGTTTCTACTCAAGCAACAAAGAAATAAATGAAACAATAGGAACACACAGAGCTACTTTCACATAGCCTCTTTAACTGGAAGTCACATGATCTGTGACTGCTTGACTGCAAGAACTCTGCCTGAGTGAGGGCTTCCCAAAACTATTGTTAAAATGAGCTTAAATATCACATGTTTTCTCTTCTGTGAGAAACCCAAAGTATGCACAACATAAAGTGCAAACTAAAAGATACAGAATAGGAAATGCAGGCAGACTTTTTGCAAAGGGGAAGGGGATCCAGAGATGGAAAGAGAAAGGGAAGAGAGGAAAAAAGCACAGAATTTCAGTGTGCTACACATTTGAGCCAACTCCCCAACATGAATGTTATCATCACATCTGCAAACATGTGCCAAAGAAAAACTTTTTAAATGTCTAAATACTAGTGTCAAAGTAGTTAAACTTCATTGTATATATTAAATGATGCGATTTGTGTGTGTTTGCCAAAATAAAGCATCCAACACAAAACACATTTTAAACATTTACATATCCACACTATAATATCTGGGATGAAGATATATCTCACTTGAGTTCCTAAAATGCTATTCTTTCACCACCCTAAGGGTAAATAAAGACAGGCTGTAACTCACCAGGTGCATGGCCTTTTCCCTTTCAGATAGAACTGACAAAACTCCAGAGATAACAAACTGTGCAAAAAAGAAGGAAAACAGCATACTTAGTCTCTGCTCTTCTCTGCATCCTCTTTCTCCATCCTCCAACATTTTGGGTATTTTCTAAAGCTATATATTCATGCTCCCTATGAGTAATTCTGGAAATAAAATGTGAGAACTTAAACTGCAGGATCTTGTTCATCACCTCCTAGATATTGTGCAAAATTCTTCACATTTACTTGGGTTCCAAGTGCATTTGTCTTTGAGAATCCGTAGATCAGGGGCTGACAGTATCTGGTGTACAACTTCGTATTAATATTACTCTTTTCTTGTCATTATTTGTGTATGTGTACCTCCTTTGTGTTACACTGTCACCTCCTCTATGCAAGAATTGTGTGCCTCTGCCATATGTATCACCAGAATCTAACATATATCCTATAATCATATACTGATTACAAAAATATATACAATGGAAGACTGGGAAAAATAGAAATCAATAGCACAAATCCAAAATAATCTCTAAAATATCCAGTTTGTATCTGGATTGAAAGACAAGTAATGAGCTAAATACTTGGAATTCAAAAGGTGGTGGAAAGAAATTTCAAATAAAACATGACAGAGGTTCCAGAAGAGGCTTGAGCAAGCGATCTGAGTAGTAAGTATTTAGCAGACTGAGATGCTGATGTGATATTTACAGTTAAAAATGTATTCTTAGGACAAAATAGTGATACGAAAAGCAACGTAGATAATTGCATAATACTTATATGGAGGGAAAGGGGACAGACAGCAAAGAGAAAGAACCAGCTATACAATTCCATTTCTGCAAAGCCCAAGAAAATACAAAGTCAGGTGCTTCTGAAGGGGTGGCCGAGGACGGAGACGAGGGCACTTCTGTGGGTCACCTTGCCTTTCTTAGACATGCAGAAAAGACTGGGCATTAGTTTAGATCATCACGGGATGATCCAAAGTGCTGTAACAGCCACACAAAATTGCTTCTCAATACCATGGTTTTGAAAAAATGGCTAGAGTGTGCACATGGAATTGGCACAGAAAGAGTGCATGAGAGAATATGAAGATTTGGTGGAATGTTTGCTTATCCAGAAAAAGATAAAATGCATGAGTACCATCAAGAAGCAGCAGGATAAGCTAATGAAGGAAGGGATGTACACCACCCCCCAACTCACCACTTGGCAAGGGAGAGCCTAGGCCCTAAGCAGGGCAGCTCCCAAGGGCTGGAGGCTGATATTCCTGCTGTTTTCCACTGGGAGGACTGTTTACTGAGCAGATGTGTAAAAATAAAGGAATATTCCTTCCCCCAAAAAAGCAAATTCAGCTACAGTCACAGAAAAGAGACCAATGGTTGGTTGATTGAGCATGGGGCACAGGGCACAGCATGAAGCAGGGAGGGGTTCAGAGAAGCACAGGAAATTTTCAGAATAAAAGATAGACTCATTATAGTGATGTGTTGACATTTTTATATGTGGGTAGCTTTGAGTCAAAAATTCATCAAATTATATACCTTTCATATTTTCAATTTATTGGATGTCAGCTGTACTTCAGTAAAGCTATGATATCCTTGTGATTTCTGTTGGCCATCAAGTTGCCAGAGAATACAATGACTTAAAGGGATCCAGTGACAAAAATTCAAGAGTGTTCCCATGTTTATAAGAGCACAATTCGTGATACTTAAATCTTGGAAGCACCCTGTATGCCCATCAGCAAATGAATGGATAAAAGAAATGTGGTATTCACATAGTGGAGTGCTACTCTGCAGTAAAGAAAGATAAACTTGAGACATTTGTATGAAAATGGATGCACCCTGAGACCATAGTGTTAATTGAAAAAAAATACAAAATAATACACAAGTTTAAAAATCACATGGTTCCTTTTACATGAGAAACCAAGATTACAAATAAAGGGCAAATTAAAAGATAGATAATAGGAAGTAGGGAAGATAGATCTTTCAAGTGGAAAGGGAACTGACAAAGGGAGGAGAGGGAGAGGAGGAAGCAAGAAATTACGATATGCTATGCACGTGTACCAGCCACACACAAGGGAGCAAACATCACTGCTATACACGCTCTTGATTAATAAAACAGCATGTTCTAAAACACAGTAGAAGTTTTTCTTCTTTTCAGGCCCTTAGCAGTTTCTTCCCCAAACCTTTTATAGAAATAACTTTTTAAATTATTATTTTTAATTTAAAGATAAAATTGTATGAATGGAACACATAACAGTGTAGAGGGTATTGGTGAATAGTGAGGAGTATTTTCCTAGAACTAGCTTCGGGGGGGTTCAGATGTTCTTTTTCTATTAGCCAAATGCTCCTTGGGCAAGCCATTCAATATTTACTACTCTGCAGTTTCTCGTCTAGTAAAAGTATGTTTAGTGTGTAACCCACAGTTAACTATAATAGGAAGACTTTGTTGTTATTAATGACCACAAACAAGAAAATATTTTATAAAATTAAAATATATGTATTTTATGCATATATGTAAATATCTGTATTTTCTTAATACCAGAGAGAACTGAATGGTTAAACTCAAGTAAAAGAAAATCTATGCTCCATGTTACTTCAAAAACAATTATATACTCACAAATACTGAACCCCAAAAGGGGTAGCCTGCCTTGAATGATGAAAATACTTCTTCATCAAAGTTTGAAATGTCAAGTACAGAGTAGACAACTATTCCAAAATAAAGGCAGAGCAAGCCAATCAAAATTTGTGTGACCTGTAAAAAACACATGAGTTTTATGAAATTAGAGACTATTTTCCCCAGATTGTATCAATTTCCATTTAACTGAGACTATATGTTGTTTCAGTGTCTCGGGCTGTGCTAAGCAGAGATTTTAGCAGCAATTCCCTGGTGGCTGTAAGGACTGAATGCAAGTATGACTTACTGCATGGACAGCCAGTGTGTGTGTCATAGACCTCTATCTACACAGTCCTGATAGATCAGTAGTTAGCTTCCCATCTTAGGGAGTAACAATCTGCCACTCCTATTTGCCATTCCTGATGCCATAATTGACATGATCATGAGGAAATTCTTCCATCTTTCTCAGCATGATCTAACTCGTGCATTCATCAAATGTCCAGAGTTTGGAGGAGGTCTCATTTCCCACAAACTTCAGTGAAAAAACCATTGGTATAGTCAAGTATTTTTCCTAGCGCAACCCTAACTCAGTGAGGCTGGAAGAGGCTCTCTCACCCCCAGGAATTCCAGCTCTCTCTTGAAAAGCAAGGCCCACGTCAGTGGCGGGGGGACTGAGGCTGACTTCTCCTGTGGTGAATTCTGTTGAGGAACCTCCTGCAAGAGTTCAATTTCAAGTGCACTGTGGAATGGAATAGAAAGTCAGCCATAAGAAAATATTCTAACTTGCCATGTCACAGAGATTCTGCCTGACAGAAAGGGGAGCTATGTTTGCTTATTTTTTTCCCAAAACAATCCTGTAACTGAAATTCCCATGCACTGACTGGGACACTAAGGCTCAGTGAATTTTAGAGAATGAATAAAAAGATGTGAACACTGAGTGGTTTGATGAAACACAACAAACCAAACACCCAGCTTCATATTCTTACTCTTAATACAAGGTTACCATCAAATTTTTCCAATTAATTCCCACTGGTAAATAAAATCAAATTGCTTTACCTATGCTTTCATAGCCCTCATTTAGAGAGGAGTCTGATTATATTTCATCAGTGACACAAAATCCTACGTATCAAAGATATAGAAGGAATGTATCTTCATCTTCAGAGCAAGATTTCATAGTTTGAGCCTCACAAAGATCAATCAGAAAGGAAGTTATTTTGTAAAATTTCTATTCCCCCAACATATGTCAGACACAGAGGGAAGAGCTCTACCTGAGTAATGCAAACTCCCACTTCATACCCAAAATATGAGCCTCTAATGTTAGAAAGCCCATTATTCTAGCTCACGAGCAAAGTAAAAATCCTCCCCACCTGTGAGACAGAATCACCAAGAAAGCATACCAAGCCATTGCTTTGTACCAATACATGAGTCAAACTTGGTGAGTCCATGCACCATCCCATGAGTCAGCATCTATCTTTACTGCACTTTGGCTTTCTCTGGCCTAATAGACAACAGAAAATAACAGCCTTTGCTTACCCAGCTTGTTCTTGAGGGTTTGGGAGTGCAAGATCTGCTCGGCTTATATCTTGAGGGTCCATATACGTGAAGCAGGCTGCCCTGGAATGAAGAGTACCGTGTTTTTGAGACCCAGTGGACTTCCTCTCCCCCGGGTTCTCAGTAGGCAGTAGAAATGGCTTGGCTCATGACACAGATGATTATCTGCCTGCAGAAATCATTTGTCAGATAAGTCTCCAGCCCAGTAAGGAGTGCGTGATAGAGTTTTTCTTCCTGGGATGAATTTACAAAGTTGAGAAGTCTCTTGAATATAGGCAAAATGAGGAAATTTGAGACTTCTGGGGTATAATGCTGTCTGCACCCAGCACAATTTATAGAACTAAAAAGAAAGTATTTTAACAGGAGAGTTGAAGAAGTAAAAGAGAACTTTACACGACAAAGGAATGCTCTCCTCTTACTGTGATTTCTCTACTTGTGTCCCAACTTGGCTATTTCTGGGTCAGATCTGTTCCAGTTCCCCTTTTGAAAAGCCTGTCTCCTCTGTCAAAGGCTGACTCAACTGCATGCTAAGGTCAATCTGAAACAGTTTGTGCATGCATGTTCCTCTCTGAATCTCTAGATCTGTCTCTACTCTCACTCTCATTTTTCCTTTCCTCTTCACATGGCTATCCATTGCAGATGGCCTTGCAAACAGGACAGGCATGGTTGATTGTCATGAGCCTTGCTTGGGAGACAGTGGAAGTGAAGAAGCCTTCACACTGAGCTCTCCATCGTCAGAGGAAATGTCAGGCTCATCCTCTGTTGCTTAGAGCTCTGAGGTGCTAGGAATGGACTGTGGAAACTCTAAGGACCAGGAACTTGATTTTAGCAAATCTAAGTAGTATGCCATTAAGAAATATACCTTGATTAGCTCACTTAAACATATTTGTCCATTCTAGTAGTGTACCTAACTTCACCAGAGGAAAAGGAGTAAAGGGGATGCCCAAAAGGTTGATATTGATTGTCTTATTCATTATAAACATAACCAGGAAGGGCTCTTGAACAAACTGAGAGATACTGCACAGTGTATCCTAATCAGCTAATCACATGGTGTCCTGCTCACCACACTACACGATAATCACATCCCACCCCATCCTTCTCCCTTGGGCACAGCTTTTGCCTCACACCTACTACCCCCCTCCAACCCCAGCTTCCTCTTTGGCAAGCAAGGTTTCTTCAATAAGTTAGTTATTCCCTTGTTTCACTTCCCCAAATACAAATGCAGTTGGCTGTCAGATCCTGTACTTAAAATAAACATGTATGGATTTGTGTGTTATAAGTTATACTGTTTCAGAGTATTTTCTGATATATAATAAAATTTCTCAAGGAAAACTAGTGACATACTGACATATCATTTACAAGACATTTTACCAACCCAGAGTCCATCTTTCCATTGTGCCTTCAGGAATCAGGGAACCCAAACAATACACCATTTGAATTAAGAAATAAACATTATTTACTTATGCACTCATCCAACAGTAACCTCAAATGCCATGTCAGATATTGTTCTTGTCACTGAGCAAGTGTCCATGGTGGCCTCTAGCCCACAATTCAGCAGAGTGGACCACAAGTCAATGGTATAATATTACCCAACATGTCAGAGGGTAGAAGCTATCAGAACACAGAGGAGGTGTAACAGTTCTGTCTGATAAGGGACATGCAGAGTTCAGGCAGAGAGTCATTCAGAAGGTAATATTTGAGGAGCCCAGATTTAAGATGACATTCTCAGGAATTTTATTGAAATTATCCATATCTGCTTGAAAAGTTCCAATGCAATGGCTCTTTGTGATGTTTGATAGGTATATGTAAGAGTTCATTATGTGCAGCAAAGACTCCAGAGTCAGATTCAAGATGCAAACAGAAACAAACTGAGGATGGCATTTGATGATTAAAGAGAATGCTGTTTCCTGAGGATTTTTAATGGAACCTTTAAAAATGCAAATCAAAAACAGAGAGTCACCTCATGACCTCCCAATTATCTCATTTTCATGGCAGTTTTCCCCAACATCTTCTCCTTGGCCCTTTCTGAGCTGTTGTTCTTCACACCTTGGCCTGTTACACCCATGTTTGTTCATCTTTTGCAACAGTGGACACTGAAAAATATGATAAAGGGATTTTTTTGGTTAGGTTAAAATTATCAAGATGAGTTTTAACCACACCTCTGCCTGGACAGAGAGATAGTAGAGCTAACATTTCTAGCACATCGTTCCTCCTTGGGCACAGCCTTGGAGCATGCCTGCCACTCCCTCTCCATCCTTGGTTTCCTCTTTAGCAAACCGAGTTCTTAGGTCAGTTAGTTATATCTTAGTTTTATTTCCCCAAATTCAAACGCAATTTGTTTTCAGATCCCACATGAACAACTATGCTCTCAAACGGCTCAATTTACTTAAATAACTACGTATGAGTTTGCATGTTCCAAGTTACACTGTCTCTTAAGGGGTCTATTCTGATACTCCCGAAGGAATCACAGCCTCTCTCCCTTGCCCTCTTCTTTGCCTTTAATTTTCTGTCTCCCATTTTCATTTTTACATCCCAAAGCCAGGTCCAGATTAAGTAAACAAGATTAAGAGTCAGAGAGAGCCTAAGACTAACATCATTTTCCATTATCCCATGGCAAATAGCAACACAAAATGAAAGGTTAAAAAAATATTGATGAACATCATTGGTCATTAGAGAAATGCAAATTAAAACCACACTGAGATACCATCTCACTCCTGAAAGAATGGCCAGGATCAAGAAAACCAACAACAACAAATGCTGGAGAGGCTGTGGGGAAAAAGGAACTCTCCTACACTGTTGGTGGGAGTGTAGACTGGTACAGCCTTTGTGGAGGTCAGTCTGGAGATTTCTCAAAAAGCTGGGATTGGAAGTCCCACTTATTCCAGCTATTCCACTTCTAGGTATATTCCTAGAAGAACTGAAAGCATCATACCACAGTGATATATGTGCAACTATGTTTATAGCAGCACAATTTGCAATCGCCAGATCTTGGAAACAACCCAAGTGTCCATCAACTGAGGAATGGATAAAAAAGTTGTGGTACTAACGGATATAACAGCAAGTGTATTTGGGGGTGTTAAATAGCTGACTTTATCAATGTTTTTGGAACATTGAACACAGCTGTTTGCAGTCTCCCTGTTTGAATGTCCACCTTGTGTTCTTTGATACTGTGATTTGAGGAACTATTTTCAAGAAAATAGTGTGTAATCTACTAGCAGGTAATTTCTTACTGTTATGGTTTTTTGTTTTGTTTTGTTTTGTTTTGTTTTGTAATTCTGTATTGCGTGTACCCTTACGCCGCTTTGGTTTGTTTTGTGTTTTTCTCTTTTTCCTCTTAAATAAAAAAAAAAAAAGTTGTGGTATTTCTATACAATGGAGTATTATTCAGCTATAAAGAAGGATCACATTGAGATATTTATCAATAAATGGGCACAGCTTGAGACCATACTCATAAGTGAAATAAATCAATCTCGCATGTGTGAATACCAAATAGCTTCCCTCATGTAAGTAATGATTCAAATATATAAAAATATGTGGTAATCATGATTCCCCATTATGTGGCCTTGAAGCCTTATAAAGTTTTCACTTATTAATTGGAAAGGCTTTATTCTGGGCTTCTTGATATGGAAATATTTGAAGCTATAGTATATGAAGTTTTATCCAAATATTTCAAGGAAAAAGACAGACACTATGGTAACTACTATTAAGTCGGGTTATTTGGTGGTGAAGCACTAGGTTGCTGAAACAGTCATGCTTTGACCTGTATTGTTATATTGTTATGTCCTGTTTTATCTCAATCTCTCCCTTATTCACTAAAAAAATTAGTTATTTCTTATGTTTTTTTAATTAAGGGGAAAATTTTAAAAATTAGCAGGATATATAATAGTAACTTTTTTTGATTTCCTATTAACTTGTTTTGAAGTCCTGTAATACTCCCACGATCTTGTTTTGCCTGATTAGACTCTGTTCCATTCTGTATGATAGTATCAAGTTTGAGGGTATAGGCAACTACTTTGAAGGCAATAAGATTCACTAAGATGCCCATTCTGGTTTGACTATTGTCTCCTTTGCAAGTCCTGTAATGTTTACAATGCTTAAGTTTTATTGGTCTTGTTCTCTACTGTTTTGTTCAACTTTATAATATCTAATGAGATAGACAATTCTTTTTAAGGAAACAAGAGACATTGTTGATAACCATTGTCGATAACCTTGTACTCTGTTTTACATCATATGCTATGTCTATCCTTGGTTTTGACTGACAGCTTTGTTTTGCCATATTTGACTTTATTCTCTCCCCTCCCAAATAAGTAATAAGAACTAAGGAGTAATAAAACCCAAAATGTGTAAATTTTGTTGTAAAAAAGAGAGGGGAAAAAAAGAGCTCTAGAGGATACAACAGCAAGTGTGTTTAGGGGTGTTAAATAGCTGACCATATTAATGTTTTTGGTTGGATCATTGAACACAACTGTTTGCAGTCTCACTGTTCGAATGTCCACTTTGTATGCTTTGATACTGTGATTTGAGCAACTATCTCTAAGATGATAATATGTAATCTATTAGCTGGTGATTTCTTACTGGTTTTTTTTTTTTTTTTTTTTGTAGTTCTGTATTACTTGTACCCTTACACCGCTTTGTTTTGTTTTGTTTTTTCTCTTTTTCCTTTTAAATAAAAAAAAATTGATGAAAACAAGATGATAAGTGTATAGCCTTCCTAGTCAGCTTTATCATCACTGAGACACAATATCTGGCATTCACAACTTACAAGAGGAAAGGTTTGACTTGGTTCATGGTTTTAGGGGATTCAGTTAATGGCTGGTAGGCTCACAGGCAGAAGGGTCCAGGTAGGCAGCCTAGTGGCAGAGCAGGGGAAGAGGACCAGTGAGACCCACAAGGGACCAGACAAACTCACATCTCCATGACCCCTCAGAAATTCCCTGGAGGTGATTCCACTATTCTGTGCAGCAGTATTTCTTGCCCTCATGAAAGTGACACATCAGGATTAACAGTGGCAAAGATATTGAGAGACCTAGGGTTGTGTGCACACTAAAAGGAAAACACTTTGCCTGTTCACTTACATGAGTTCAGAAATGTAAAGAGCAAGATTTATATGGACTGTCCTGGCACTCTGGATCACCTTGGGTTCTCCTTGTAATTGGAGTTTATCTGCTATTTCAGGCTATGGGTGACTTAACTGCCAAGGGAAATGTTCAGTTCATGCTGGTTCCTATCTCCTCATACTCCATCTATCTTCCATGATAATGCTTTTCACAAGTACAATAGAAAGAGCACATTACATATTCATTCACCTGGGACCAAGAATATCTGCTAAGTGGGAAGAGAATTATAAAACACTCAGCATCACAGTTAAGGTGTAGACCTGAGGTGTCCTAATCCTGCGATGAATAATGATCATCTTCACTTCCTTATGGTCATCCTTTTCATCTCCATCTTGATAATTTATATCCAAATGTTTGGTTTTACAATTTTCAGAATAATTTCACAGCTTTTAACAATTTGTGTTCC